TAACTGAGACAGAGCCTTGACTGTTTTGCCTCTGTGATAAAAGCAGAATCAGGTTTATTTCAGTGTAGTCTCAAAGTCCAAAGATTCTTTCTTCATTTTAGGCTATGCTTAAGAAAGATAGTCCAAGAAACTTCAGTTGGTATTTTGCTTTTCTCCTAACAGAGGTAGGGTGGAGTACTAAGAAAGAATGTCAGACTGTGTCTAGGGGATCTGGTTTCCAATGGGATTTTCACACTGATTTGCTATGGAAATGAGTTACTGGCTTTCTGAGTTGCTGTTTCTTCCACCATTTGTTAGAGAATTGTTGAATCGCCAGGAATTCTAAATAATAGAATAATTAATATTATTATTATAATATAATAATATTATCGAATTCTATGTTTACATCCCCTAGATATTATTTATTATTTTCTAAATCTCAGAGAATGGTATATAACTTATTTGCCTACATGTTTTATCTGCCCTGCTAAATTAAAGGGCTAAAAACACTTATTATTCAGTTTGCCACCCTCATAGTTTAACACTGCGTCTTTCATAAGTTAAATAAATATTTGAAGGAAGGTGAGTTAATTGATATCTTTCTGTTTTGAAGATTATTTCCCAATGAGACAGACTTATTTTATTTGTTTTGTGGAGGTGAGATAACAATACTTTAGCTAGGTGATAATATTATAGTAATGATATTTCCCTTTATTTTGTCTAATTAAAAATAATTTGTGGATTATGCTAGAATATGAAAATTTAGGGGGCAGGTGTTAGACCCATTGGTTAAGATGCTGACTAAGGAGAGCATTGCAGCATAGCAGGTAAAGCCGCTGCTTGCGATACCGACAACTCATGTGGGTGCCAGTTCACATCCTGGCTGCTCCAATTCTGATCCAGCTCCCTGCTAATGACCTGGGAAAAGCAGCAGAAAAGGGCCCAAGTGCTTGGGCCCCTGCCGCCCACATGGGAGACCCAGATGAAACTCCTGACTTTGTCCTGGCCTAGCGCTGGCCGTTGCAGCAATCTGAGGAGTGAACCAAAGGAGGGACGATCTCTCTCCTTTTCTCTGTCTCTGTCTCTGTGTCTCTCCCTGTCTCTCTCTCTGTGTAACTATCTTTCAAGTATATAAATAAAATCTTTAAAAAAAAAAGATTCTGGTTAAGGGACCGGTTTTGAGGTATGGGTTAAACCACCACTTGGGACACCAGCTTCCCATATTGGAATGCCAGTGTAAGTCTGGGTTGCTCTACTTCTAATCCAGCTCCCTGCTAATGTTCCTGGGAAAGTAGTGAATGATGTCCCAAGTTCTTGGGGCCCTGTTTTCTACATGCGAATCCTGCATGCGGTTTCAGGTTTCTGGCTTCAGCCAGGCCCAGCCTTGGCCATTGTGGTCATTTGAGGAGTGAGCCAGTAAATTAAAGATCTTGCTGTCTTGCTCACTCTCTTTCTATGTGTCTATCTCTTTCTCTCTCAGGCTTTCAAATAAAATAATTAATAATTAATTAGTGTATCTTTCAAAAAATATGCTGGTTAAGATGCCTGCATCTCATATTGGAGTACTTGCATTTCAGTCCCAGCTCCACTCCCCATTCCAGCTTTCTGTTGGTGCATATCCTGGGATGCAGAAGGTAATGGCTCTATCTGTCTCCATCTCTCTTCCTCCCTCTGCCTCTCAAATTTTAAAAAGTTAATTAAAATACTGAAATAATGCATTAGGTTAGTATTTGATTGTACTACTTTCTGGTAAACTCCCAGGAAAGGTTTCATATAAGCACTTGATGTGATAAAAAGATTCATAATGAATCAGGACTGTTTACCCTGTGTAATTATGTTAGTCAGGACTCTTAGAATTGCAAATATCAGAAGACCTAGTTCAAACTGGCTTCAACCAAAAAGAAAAACTTATTGACTCACGCATGTGAAAAGTTCAACCTTGGCTGAATCCTGGCCTGAATGAAGTCATTAGGGCTTAGCCTTATTCTTTGCATTTCTTGGCTGTTTCTCCATCAAATGTGCTTTTTGCTTATGGTGATAAAGGTGTTCACAGTTCCAAGCTCACATTTTATCTTCTCAGCAATTCTGGTGTTAGGACAGCACCTCTTTCAGAAGAGTTCTAACGACTTCCAGAGTTGAATTGCACTGTTTGACTGGGATAGGGATGTCCTTGCAAATCCAAGTATGTGGAATACATTGGTTGTCTAGGCTTGGGTTATGTGCCCATGCTGGAGTCCAGAGGTAGAATTTACTTCCTCCTGAAGCTCATGTACTGAGAATTTTGAACAGTAACTTCCTACTGGAAAACTGGGGACTCTTCTGCAGAAAGCAGATACAATATACAAGTGTATAGTCATCTTATTTTAATTCATAAATACATTAGTTTTACATCCTAATTAGGTGAGTTTTGGTATGTTTTCAGAAAAATTAAAGACCCCAATGAGTTGCTATATGGATTTCCAATATTTATGTTAAAAATCTCTAATAAAAGATATCTAGGCTTTCATGTGCTTCTGCTTTCCACTCATTCCCTTGTGTACCAGTTGTGGAGTTACTTGGAAACTCTGCTATTTACTTAAGAATAGTGAATAAAGCCAAGTAATATCTTAGTGTCATTATGACAATTTTTGACCTCATAGGAACTCTGACAGGATCTCTAGGTCTCTTAGGCCAAAGGACTATCCTGTCTTAATAAACCTGTCCATATTCGGTGCCTTTTGGAATTCCTTATCAATTTCAGTGGGCACCTGGCCAACTGAGCATATGTTAACCTTACTGCCTCTTAATGTGTAGTTCTGGGGTACATCCGAGAATTTGTTAACTAATTCCCAGATGTTTCTGAAGTCTCCAGTACTGGAATAGCAGACTTTTGTTTCCCTTTGATTTACTATAATGATCAGGTTTTATTTGTTTTAAAGGCAGGGTGACAGAAAGAGAAACAGAGATCTTCTGTCTGCTGGTTCATTCCACAAATGACCTCAACAGCTGAGTCTGGGCCTGGCTGAAGTCAGGAACCTGGAACTCCATCTGAGTCTCCCACATGGATGGCAAGGGCCCACACACATGAACTATCATCTGCTGCCTTCCTAGGCATGTTAGCAGGGAACTGGATTGGAAGTGGAACAGCTGAAACTTGAACTGAAATTCCCATATGGGATGCCAGTGTTGTAAGTGGTGCTTAACCTACTACAGCCCCTAAAAGGCAGTTTTTAAAAGGAGTCAAAAGTGCCCAAACTTAAGATTTTCAAGCCCTTCCATACTTATCTTCCAAAAACAGTATGTCATTGACCTTGTCAACTCTCTGTTAAGTAAAAGATCAATTAAGTATTGTGTCAACAAAAGCCAAGTGAGGCTCCTGTATTCTCCCAAAATCAGAGTTATGCTGAATCCTGAGAGAATTTGAACAAAGTGACTGTTGATTCCTAGTCTTTCCTCAAAAGAACAAAGCTATTTTAAATTCTGTTTATTATTGTTGTTTTAAATATTTTATTTATTTATTTGAAAGGCAGAGTTACAGAGAGGGAGGGACAGGGAAAGAGAGAGAGTCTGAGATCTTCCATTTGCTGGTTCACTCTCCAGAGGGCTGCAACAGCCAGGGCTGGGCCAGGCTGAAGCCAGGAGCCAGGAGCTTCCTCCGGGTCTCCCATGTAGGTGGCAGGGCTCCAAGGACCTGAGCAGTCTTCTACTGCTTTCCCAGGCATTTAGCATGAGGCTGAACTGCAAGTGGAGCAGCCTGGTGCCCCTATGGGATCCCAGCACTGCAAGGTGGCAATTTAACCTGCTGAGCCACAGTCTATTTTTGTATAAATGTAGTCAACTGAGCAATCAACACAACTTCATTCTAACTTCTACCTACAGTTTTTCTGATGCATTTTTAAAGATTTATTTATTTATTTACTTATTTGAAAGTCTGAGTTACACAGAGAGATGGAGAGGCAGGAGGAGAGAGAGAGAGAGGTCTTCCATCCGATGGTTCACTCCCCAGATGGCCACAACAGCTGGAGCTTCGCCAATCTGAAGCCAGGAGCCAAGAGCTTCTACTGGGTCTCCCACAGGGATGCAGGAACCAAAGGACTTGGGTCATCTTCTACTGCTTTCCCAGGCCATAGTAGAGAGCTGGATCAGAAGTGGAGCAGCTGGATCAGAAGTAGAGCAGCTGGATCTCGAACTGGTGCCCATATGGGATGCCAGCGCTTCAGGCCAGGGCATTAACCCGCTGTGCCACAGCGCCGGCCTTCTGATGCAGTTTTCTTCATTGTAAACACTGAAATGCAAAAGCTGACTTATGAGTTAAATTTGGCTGCAAATGACAGCTCTAACTACAATGCCTTAAAGTAGTAAGAGTTGGAGTTAGTGCTGTGGTGTAGAAGACTAAGCCTCTGCCTGCAGTGCAAGCATCCCATGTAGGTGCCGATTCGAGTCCCGTCTGCTCCACTTCCAATTCAGCTCCTTGTGAATGCTCCTGGTAAAGCAGTGGAAGATGACCCAAGACCTTGGGCACCCACGTGGGAGACCTGGATGAAGCCCCTGGTTTCTGGCTTTGGCCTGGCCCAGCTGTAGTCAGTGCAGTCATTTGGGGAGTGAACCTGCAGATGGAAGACCTGTCTCTCCTTCTCTCTCTGTACCTCTGCCTTTGAAACAAATAAATCTTTAAAAAGAGAGAGAGGTAAGAGTTTTCCTCATATAAGAAGTCCACAGGCAGGTTATGGCTTGCCTTGCTTTAGCACATTATGGATTTCTCTTAATATTTTCCTCAGAGTCCCACAATGGTTGATGGAATTTTGGCCTTACATTCTGAGTGGCAGTAGGAGAAAGTAAAAGAGTACTAAAGGGCAACAAATGCTTGCTTTATTTATTGATTTTTGCTGTTTGCTTTTTTTTTTAACAAAAGGTTTATTTCTTTGAAAGAGAGAGTTACAGTGAAGGAGAGGCAGAGGCAGAGAGAGATAAGTCTTTTTTTTTTTTAAAGATTTATTTATTTGAAAGGGTTACACAGAGATAAAAGGAGAGGCAGAGAGAGAGAGAGAGAGAGAGAGAGAGAGAGAGAGAGAGAGTCTTCTACCCTCTGGTTCACTCCCCAATTGGCCACAACTGCTGGAGCTATGCTGATTAGAAGCCAGGAGCCAGGAGCCTCCTTTGGGTCTACCACGTAGGTGCAGGGGCCAACGGGCTTGGGCCATCTTAGACTGCTTTCTCAGGTCATAGCAGAGAGCTGGATCGGAAGTGGAGCAGCCGGGACTCAAATCGTTGCCCAAATGGGATGCCAGCACTGCAGGAGGCGGCTTTACCTGCTAAGCCACAGCACCGGCTCTGAGAGAAGTCTTTCATCCACTAGTTCACTCCCCAATGGCCACAATGGCCAGGAATGGGCCAAACTGAAGCCGGGAGCCAGGAGCCAGGAGCTTTATCTGGGTCTTTCACATGGCCCAAACACTGGGGCCATTTTCTGCTCCTTTCACAGGTGCATTAGCAGGGAGCTGGGTAAGAAATGGAGCAGCCAGGACTCAAAGTGGCACCAATATGGAATGCTGGCATTGCAGGCAGTGGCTTAACCCAATATGCCACAGTTTGCTTTTCAAAGAGTATAATCAGATATTCTAGTCAATACTTTTCTATACACCTTCTTCTTCACATGATCCATGTATCTTCAATGGAATCTAAGAAACATAGTCTTTATTTGGGCTCAGTGACACTCCAAATTAAACTAGCCTGCATTAATAAAGAGAAGGGGAATATTGAATATCAGGTAGCTGTCTCAGTCAGCTTGAACTCTGTAGCAAAACACCATAGAGTGAGTGGCTAAACAATAGACATTTATTTTTCACTGTTTTGGTGGTTAGAAAATTGAAGATCAGATTGCCAGCCTATGTGGTTCTCTGGTATGTGTTCTCTTCCAGGCTTGCAGTAGCTCCCTTCTTATTGTGTCTTCACTTGGGAAAGAAAGAGAGAGAGAGAAAAATGCAGAAATCAGAGTAAGTAAGTAAGCCTCAAACTTCACAAGGAAAATTCCATTACATCTTAAGGCTTGAGAATAATCTTTACTGGTTTAATGGTCTGCCTTCCAGACCCACCAGGGTGGTGGTCCCACTTCTGTGACTCTGCTGGCTGGAAGATGTACCCTCAAGGTTCTGGGCAGTGGTGGTCTGGCCTGTTGAATCTGAAGCAATGTCCTTCCTCTCCCGTCCTAACCTGGAAACTGTGGAGGCAGCCCCAATACAGACCAAATCAATTCTGGGGTCATTCTTTGTCTTCAAAAATACTGCCTAGTGCAGCCAAATAATTTAATGGTCCAGTTGTGTAAGATCTAAGAAGCTCCATGCCTTTCTTCATTTTGTTCCATCTCTATCTCCTTCAGTTCAATCTGGCAATGTTTCTGCTGGGATGGTTGAGTAGGTCTGTGGTTCACACCCATACTGATCTCCTTATCAAATAATTGGTCAGTTAGTGTTCTCTTCAGAAGAAACTGTTTCATTTTGTACAGTATGTATACAGACTGAGAAGTTTTCCAAATCTTTAATATATTCCTCATTTTCATTTGAACCGTCACTAGCATTGCTTTTCTTGTCCATGTTTTGACTGACATTCTGTTGTTGATTATGTGTTTACTAAGAAAATGGAAACTTTCTCTCCATTTCTCTTTTCTTTCTGAGTCCTAACCAGAATCATCACTCCTTTCCTCTGTTTCCTCTTTCTCTCCCTTTCAAACAAATAAAATATGAATAAATTTTTGACTAAAAAACAACTTAGGAGTTTAGTGCCTGGGTTTGGGTCCTTGTTCCACTCCTGATTCCAGCTTCCGACTACTGCATAACTTGGAAGGCAGCAGTAATGGCTTAAGTGATTGGGTCTCTCCCACCCATGTGGTAGATCAGGATTTAGATCCTAGTTTTTAGCTTTGGCCTGGCCTAGTCTGACTGCTGTGCGTATCTGGGAAGTTAACCAGTGAATGGAGATCTCTATCTCTTTGTTGCTCTAGTTTCCAAATAAATTAAATAAAGAATTTTTTTAAAAAAATCACTACCCTTTGGGCTGGCACTGTGGCACAGTGGGTTAAAGACCTGGTCTGAAGCGCTGGCATCCCATATGGGCGCCAGTTCGAGTCCCGGCTGCTCCTCTTCTGATCCAGCTCTCTGCTATGGCCTGGGAAAGCAGTAGAAGATGGCCCAAGTCCTTGGGCCCCTGCACCCACATGGGAGACCCAGAAGAAGCTCCTGGCTCCTGGCTTCGGATTGGCGCAGCTCCGGCTGTTGTGGCCATCTGGGGAGTGAACCACTGAATGGAAGATCTCTCTCTCTGTTTCTACCTGTCTCTGCAACTCTGTCTTTCAAATAAAAATCAATAAATAAATATATCTTTTTAAAAAAATCACTACACTTAACATGCATATTTCTTTCTTTCTTTCTTTCTTTCTTTCTTTCTTTCTTTTTTTTTTTTTTTTTTTTTGACAGGCAGAGTTAGACAGTGAGAGAGAGAAACAGAGAGAAAGGTCTTCCTTCTGTTGGTTCACCCCCCCAAATATCCACTAAGGCCGGCCTCAGCGTGCCAGCGTGCTGCGCCGATCCGAAGCCAGGAGCCAGGTGCTTCTCCTGGTCTCCCATGCAGGTACAGGGCCCAAGCACTTGGGCCATCCTCCACTGCACTCCCGGGCCACAGCAGAGAGCTGGACTGGAAGGGGAGCAACTGGGACAGAAACCATTGTCTCAACTGGGCTTAGAACCCGGGGTGCTGGTGCCGCAGGCGGAGGATTAGCCTAATGAGCCGCAGTGCTGGCCAACATGCATATTTCTAACATGTATTTAAAAACTCCTCCAGCTCCTAGCCATTACCCAATTCCACAGCTACTTGCACATTTTTAGATATTTATTACAGCAGCAGCCTATTCTATGTACCAAAAACTGTATTAGTCTGGCTTCTTCAGAGAAATAGAACCAATGGGTTAAGCATACATACACATAAAATAAGGAATTAAGAAGTCCCATTGTCTACGGTTGTCAAGCTGGAGACCAGGTGAGCTATTAGGATAGCTCCAGTGTGAGTCCAAAGACCTGAGAACCAAGAGAGTTGGTGGTAATAAGTTCCAATCTAACTCAGTCTCTGACGGCTGGAGAAGACCGGTGTCCAACTCTCAAAGACAAGCGATGAGAACAAATTTTCCCTTAATCAGTCGACTTATGTTCTATTCAGGCTTCCATTGGATCAGACAAGGGCCATCCACACTGTGGAGGGCAATCTGCCATGCTCATTCCCCTGATTCAAATGTTGATCATATGCAAAAATACCCTTTAGGACATACCCAAAATATTATTTAAATACATACCTGGGCACTGAGGCCCAGTCAAGTTGACATGCTAAAGTTAATTATCAGAGAGCCTAGAAATGTCTGCCACAAAAATATTAATGAAAATATTTAAATGTATTTTCCTTCTGTGTTAGCTGAAGTTTTTATTATAAGCTTTTAGTTACATAGATGTTACACAGATGAAATATTTAATTGCAACCCAAAAATTGCTCCTATATTAGAATATGTTTTATTCTAGTTATTCTTTGCATATAGTCTTACAAAAGTAGGACCAATTATTATGCTTTGTTTTGTCATCTACTTTTTTCTGCTTGAGGTATGTACGTTGAACGTTTTCTGCCACAAAATTTTCATCTGTGACATTTTGAGTGACTGCATAATAGTTATTGAATGGATATATGATATCTTCCATCAGTTTCCTGTTGCTGGACATTTAGGTGGTTTCCAGTTTTTTAATATTATAAGTAGCTTTTTTATACTCTTATTATCTTTCAATGTTTTTATTTCAGAAGCAATCCATGCCCTCTCTAAATAACTGGAATAATACAGAACTGTGTAAAATCAAAAGCAAAATTCCCGTCTTTATTCCCCGGTTCTTCTATTTTCCAGCACTTCTATTTGCCTTGAGTCAGCCAGAGTTCACTGTGTATCTTGAATTTTTTTGTTTTCTGTGCCCTTTTTTCTTTTTCTTTAATAAATATATTATCTTTTATTTTCTGCTGTTGTCAGGCCCAGTTTTAAGCAGCCAGGAGCTCTTTTACTTGATCTGGGAAGCCAGACAATCAATCTGTTAGAATTATGTGTAAACTTAGACAAAGTAATATATGAGTGACAGCCTTAAGCCTTTCTAATTAAAGTACCTTAAGTTTACTGTTAAACTTTCTGTTTTGCATTTTGACTGCTATTAGGCCTATTAAACCCACTTCCAGGGGCTGGGCTTCTGCCTCCGGTGCCAGCATCCCATATGGGCTCCGGTTCAAGTCCCAGCTGCTTCTCTTCTGATCCAGCTTTCTGTTAGGACATGGGAAAGCAGCAGAAGATGGCCCAAGTGCTTGAGCCCCTGAATCTGCGTGGGAGACCCGGAAGAAGCTCCTGGATCCTGGCTTTGGATTGGCCCAGCTCTGGCTGTTGCAGCTATTTGGGAAATAAACCAGCATGTGGAAGACCTTTTTCTCTGTCTCTCCCTCTGTCTATAATTCTCTCTCTCAAATAAATAAAATCTTTAAAAAAAGTTAAAAACTCACTTCCAGGTACTGTTTCAGATAATTGGAAGTAACCTTCAAATAAATAAGGTGTTACTATCTTTAGTTTTCTTTTCTTTTCTTTTTAAAAGACTTATTTATTTATTTGAAAGGCAGAGTTATAGACAGAAAAAAGGAGAGATGGATCTTCCATCCGCTGGTTCACTCTCCAAATGGCTGCAATAGCCAGGACTGGGCTAGGCTAAAGCAGGAGCTTCTTCCAGGCCTCCTAAGTGGGTGCAGGGACCTAGGCAGGTGAGCCATCTTCAGCTGCTTCCCCAAGCACATTAGCAGAGAGCTGGAGTGGAAGTAGAGCAGCTGGGACTCCAACTGGCGCCAATGTAGGATGTCAGTGCTGCAGGCCCCGGCTTTAACCTGCTGAGCTGCAGTGTGGGCCCCAGTCTTCTCTTAAACTGAGTGAATTACATTTAAGAAACATTTTAATGTTAACTTTTGGTGTGTTTATACAACTCTGAAAGGTAAATTCTGTAAAATAATAAAAGCTAAAGATATTTTTTTTTTGGCCGACGCCGTGGCTCACTTGGCTAATCCTCCGCCTGCAGCGCTGGCACCCCGGGGTTCTAGTCCCGGTTGCTCCTCTTCCAGTCTAGCTCTCTGCTGTGGCCCTGGAGGGCAGCGGAAGATGGCCCAGGTGCTAGTGCTTGGGTCCCTGCACCTGCATGGGAGACCGGGAGGAAGTACCCGGCTCCTGGCTTCAGATCTGCACAGCGCTGGCCGTAGCGGCCATTAGGGGAGTGAGCCAACGGAAGGAAGACCTTTCTCTCTGTTTTCTCTCTCACTGTCTATAACTCTCTCTGTCTCTCTCTCTTTTTCATTGTCTAACTCTGCCTGGCAAAAAATTTAAAAAAAAGATTTTTTTTTAGGGCATTCATTCATTCATTCAATGAATATCTACTGAATGCTTGCCGTGTGTCAAGCACTGCATAGATATTAGAAATGTAAAGATGAAAAAATAAAATTCATCTTTTTTTAAGCTTTCATAAACAGTTTAGAAAGCACCTAACAGTGCATTTTATAGTATCCTTTGGTTTGATCTTCTCAAAATCTGCATTTGAGCATTTTGTCTTTCAAAGATGTACTGCAATAAAATTCAATTCTCAGGGCTGGCATTGTGGCACAACAGGTTAAGCTGCCACAGGGATGCCGGCATCCCCTATGAATGCCAGTTCAAGTCCTGGCTGTTTCACTTCTGATCCAGCTTATTGCTAATGAGCCTGGGAAAGCAGTGGAAGATGGCCCATGTAGCTGGGCCCCTGCTATCCATGTGGGAGACCCAGATGGAGTTTCTGGCTCCTGGCTTCTACCTGGATCTTTCCTTGCCATTGTGGTCATTTGGAGAATAAACCAGCTGATGCAAAATATTTCTTTCCATATCTCTCTGTAATCCTAATTTTCACATAAATAAAAAAAATCTTTAAATAAAATAAAATCAGTTCTGTATTGATAGCACATTTGTGCTTGGGCCTCTGTGTATTTCTTTATGTACTGTCTTGCCACTACATTGTAGTTATGCCCCAGTAACCTTGGTAGCATTTAGCTCAAGTGTAAGAGGCAAGTCCTCTGACTGCCCAACTAGGTTATGTGGGTAATGTAGGTCATTTGGATTCCCTGCAGGTCTTTTTGGTAAAACTAAGCACAGAGACCTCACATTGCAGATGACAACATATTTTTATACTCATACTCGCCCTTTACTTCTTTCTCTTTTTCTTTTGACTGTGAAAATTGCTGAAATATCAGGAGTTTAGTTAGGGGTGAGTAAGGAAGTTTGGAATGTTTTTAATCCTGTGTTCAGGGTTCTTGGTAATATTAGAAGAGCAGCAGAGCCATGGATACAGTCATGCTCTTGGCTATAGCAGCCTACCCTGACTTAAGTGCTCCCTACATGAAAACAAGACCAGGGCTTTAGTTGACAGTAAATGCAACCTGAGCCAGGGATATGACTTGGCTGCCAAAACAAGCAAATGTGATCTGAACGGGCATTAATAGAAGGCTGGTGGTTGGACAAGGAAGGCAATAGCCCCAGAGTACACCCTGCAGTGGTCAGATCACACCTGGAGGATGATGTTTCCTTCTGCGTTTTAAGAGTGACATCAACAAGTTGGAGTGTACCCAAGTTGAGCAACAGAATGATGAATAGCCTAGAAACTACATCCTTTGAGGAACAGTTGGAGAATCTGGGGTCATTTACTCTGGAAACTAGAAGACAACAGGGTATGGGATAGCTATTTTGAAACATTCACAGGGTTTTCATGTAAAAGGGATGGACTCTTCTGTGTAATCTCAGCAAATACAACTTAGATCAATGGTGCATATTACAACATGGTTGATTTCATCTCCATAAAAGGAAGTGTTTGCTAGCCCGTGAGCATCCAGAAAATACGAGCTCTGAAAGATAGTGACTTAACTTTAATAGGGAGGGTTAGAAAAGAGGCTGGCTGGCCGAATACCAGAAGATTCGTGAATAGAATGGGAAATTTTGAGAGATTATCTGATTCAAGATCCTTTCAGATTCAAAGGTTCTAATGGCAAACTTAAGGAAGGAATAAGTCAGCACTTTTTTTTTTTTTTAAATCTCGGATCCCACACAAGTATAAATGTTGAAATAGATTCTGAGGCAGAATATCAGTTATGAGAATGGAGGCAAGAAATACCAGAGCTTCTTTGTTTTCCCCAGGTGGTGATAGATTTTAGACATAAAGGTTTAATTAATAGTATCTGTGCCTTTTAAAAATTTTTTCAAGACAGACTGAATGAATGATTTTCTTTAACTTTTAAAATTCTCTAGTGGCAAACTTTCTCATGGAATTTTTGGCCCTCTTAATAAGTTGTTTTCAGGGTACTATATTTTGACAAGATTATCCTTAACCCATATGTTAATCAGCTTTTCATTACTTTAAGTACACGACACAGGCTACTTATAAAGCAAAAGGTTTATTTTGGCTTATGCTTTTGGGGATTCAAAGTTCAATATCAAGAAAGTCCCATTGGTCCAGCTGTCTGATGAGGCTGCAGGATAGCAATGGCAAACTATGAACGAAGAGAAATGATCACCTGATAAGCCAGGAAGCAGAAAGACAGCACACTTGTCATCTGTCTGTGTGGTCTCTCTGTTTATGAAGCACTATGATTCAATCATGGGCTCCGCCCAACAAGCTAATCCAATCTAATCGCTAACCAGGGCCCCACCTTCAGGCACCATAATTGGATTAGGTTTCCACCCTTATTCCATTAACCATTAACATCAATCTATTAACCATTAATGTAGACTTTGGGGATCACGCCTTTAACCCTTGGGCCTTTGGGAACATACAAACTAATATCCAAACCATAGCAACCCAGTATCATACAGCAGCATTTCAGAGAAAAGTAGTTTTGTATCTACATGTCAAAGAATAGATAGAACAACTGGGGTTTAGTGCTCAGTAATCATTAATAATTAAGTAGAAACCAGTAAAATGTGTACGTTAGGATAGCTTGCCTCATCCCAGCAGTCAGTGAGATGAATTAGCAATGATTTTACCAGTTTTTAGCAATCATTTTACTAGTGCAGAAATTGGATCTTGGAGCAGCTTGCCTGCTATGATCATGTGTAGAGCTGGCACAAGGACTCAGGTCTTTTCACTTTAGACCAGCGTTCTTTTATAATACAAAAGGCCTCTGTTCTTTCCTAATAGTGGGTTTAGAGACTTGAATGCAGAATATAGTTCCTCTCTTTCAGCTACAGTGGTACTCTGGAGTAGGATGGTGGTTGCTTTGGCCTAAGACTTGACTTCTCACTTAAGTGCCATCCGTAGTTCATCTTTTGTCCTAAAGTAAGTTTCTAGCAGACAGCACTTTTGATGTCTGAGAATATTTCACTATCTCCTTGAAAACAAGCATATTAAGGCTTACTTCAGACAAACATTCTGTGGCTGTGGTGAGGACAGTGTTTGCTAAATTAAGTGGATTTGGGCAGTGTTACAAATGCTTGCAAGCTCAGGATGTCAGAAAGATCTGGGTTTAAATCTCTGTTCTTGGTGTAGACATTTAGCCTAGTGATTAAGATGCCTGTGTCCCATGTGAGAGTACCTGGGTTTGATACCTGGCTCCAGCTTTCTACTAATGCAGACCCTGGGAGGCTGTGGTAATGACTCAAGTTTGTTGAGTTCCTCCCACCCAGATGGGAGACCTGGCTTGAGTTTCCAGCGCCTGACTTCCTCCTGGCCTTGCCCTAGCTCCCCAGCAGTTAACTGCAGGCCTTTGAGGAGTAAACAGTGGATGGGGGAGCTCTTTCTCTCTCTTTGGCTCTCAAATAAATACATATTAAATCTCTGTTCTGCTACCTATTGCTGTGACATACTAATTTAGTGGCTCCTCAGTTTATCTGTAAAGTGGGAATAATAAGACCTCTATTTTGGGATTGTTGAGAGAATCAGGTATGTTAATGAGTATAAAGTGATGAACACTATATTCTTTTTTAAAAATATACTTATGCATTATTCAATTATATTTTATCCATTTTTCTATTGGGGGTATTATTGTGTTTCATGTTTAGTTTCTTTTTTTCTTCCAATTATTTTATTTATTTGAAAGACAGAGTTACAGAGAGAGGTAGAACCAGAGAGAGAGGTCTTCCCTTCTGCTGGTTCACTCCCCAAATGAATGCAATGGCCAGAGCTGAGCTGATCCAAAGCCAGGAGCCAGGAGCTTCTTCCAGGTATCCCACACGGGTGCAGGAGCCCAAGGACTTGGGCCATCCTCCACTGCTTTCCCAGGCCATAGCAGAGAGCAGGATTGAAGAGGAGCAGCCGGGACTCAAACTGGCACTCATATGGGAAGCTGGTGCTGCAGGCTGGAGCTTTAACCCATTGCTGCACAGCGCTGGCCCTTCATGTTTAGTTTCATCATGCTGTATATACTCAGTCTAGTGGGTGCTGAATAAATCCTACTCAGGAATCAGCAACAATTCAGAACAAGTGCCTCCCAGGTGCCCGGTCCAATGCTGATCTGTTCTCTGAGAATATAAAGCTGCCTGGACCAGGCCTTTGCCTTGCCCTAGTGCTGAG